CTGCCTCAACTGCTGCCTCACCCACTGCCTCACCCACTGCCTCACCCACTGTCTCACCCACTGCCTCTACCATTACCTCACCCACTGCCTCAACCGCTGCCTCTACCATTGCCTCAACCGCTGCCTTACCCACTGCCTCACCCACTGCCTCAACTGCTTCCTCAAGCACTGCCTCACCCACTGCCTCTACCATTGCCTCACCTACTGCCTCAACCGCTGCCTCTACCATTGCCTCAACTGCTGCCTCAACCACTGCCTCACCCACTGCCTCAACCGCTTCCTCAAGCACTGCCTCTACCAGCCCAGTCGCACTCAATCTACAAGCACCAGACACAATGAATTATTGTGAAATGTTTGGAAGAGCACAGAGATTAATGCTCACTCCAGCATAAACAAAGCCACACTGACGATGTGTCAACTACTCCCTTGTATTTTTGTACAATTTCCTTCTTCAATTCTATCGTGTTTTATTATTATTATTATTATTATTATTATTATTATTATTATTATTATTATTACTATTGTTATTATTAGCAGTAACAGAAATGTTTGATTCTTTGCTGTGCTCAAGAGTAAACACATGATATCACTGTCCAATACCTGTCCGAATAGCCATTCCAATATGCAGTCATGAATGGGTTTACATTATTTATACTGTAGTTTAATAGCAAATAATGAACAAACAAAACACTCACCACACTGGTGGGAGGGCTGGCTGCCAGTTGCGGGGGTCGGAGGGAGGGTAGTAGGGACTCACAGTGGTGGAGGCATTTTTGGAGGCAGTGGTATTTAATAAGATACATGTTATTAAACCATAACATGTATGTATTTAGTACAATTTACAACGTTTTCATGTATTTTATGATTGTTCATGGTTCAACAAATTAAGGAAGCAGTACTGTATTTCCCTACAATATATTGGGGCGCCAAACATTCGCGATTTTTCAACATTCACAAGGCTCTTGATCCCCTAACCCTCGCGAATGTTGAGGGAGACCTGTATTTCAGGTCACTTTTTATATTGTATCTTTATATATGCTTCTAAACTGTTGTATCTGGGCACCTCTGCAAAAACAGTGATTATGTATGAAGATGACCAACTTGTTACCAAAAAAAAAAAAAAAAAATTCTAGACAATAGTACAGTGGACCCTCGGCTAACAATATTAATCTGTTCCTGAGAGCTCATTGTTAGACGAAATTATCGTTAGCTGAATTAATTTTCCCCATAAGAAATAAAGGAAATCCAATTAATTGATTCCAGACAGCCAAAAGTATTAAAAAAATAAATTTTTTTTCATGAAATATACATTTCCCTACAAAGAAAACAATGAGACATGCACGATAACTATATAAATAAATGTTAATATGACACTCACCTTTATTGAAGAGTATCGATGAGACACTGTTTTTCTTGAACACTCTGGGATTTTCAGAGTGATACATGAGTTAAGGCTTCACTTTGCAATCCCCACTAGCATTGTCCATTACTAGGAGGCACTTGAGATCCAATTTCTTTTCCAGGAGGTAATTCTTCACACTAGGGCCAAACACTTCATTGAACCACTTGACGAAAATTTCCCTCGTTACCTATGCCTTATTATTAGATCTCCAAAACACATACAATTTACTCTTCATAATGTTATTTTTCCTGAACACTCTGGGATTTTCAGAATGGTACACTAGTAATGGCTTCACTTTGAAATCCCCACTAGCATTAGCACAGAACATGAGCGTCAGCTTGTCTTTCATAGGCTTGTGTCCTGGCGGTCCCTTTTCCTCCTGAATAATGTAGATCCTCTTTGGCATTTTCTTCTAAAAGAGGCCTGTTTCATCACAATTGAACACTTGTTCAGGTTTCAGTCCTTCAGCCTCTATGTACTCCTTGAATTCACTTACGAATTTTGTAGCTGCAATTTTGTCTGAACTGGCAGCCTCACCATGCCTTATCACATTGTGTATGCCACTACGGTTCTTAAATCTCTCAAAACAACCTTTGCTGGCCTTAAATTCACAAATATCAGTATTCATTGCAGGCAATTTCTTTACCAGATCGTCATGCAACTGCCTAGTCTTTTCACAAATAATCGATGTTATAAGATTATCTCCTGCTAATTGTTTCTCATTTATCCACACCAATAATAACTTCTCAACATCTTCGAGTACTGGTGATCTCATTTTTGTCAGCATATTTACCCTCTTTGCAACAACAGCTTTCTTAATTTCCTTTTTCTTGGCCACAATGGAAGATATGGTTGTGCGGGACTTGTTATACATCCTGGCCAGTTCGGCCACATGTACGCCACTTTCATATTGTTCAATGATATTTTTCTTAAATTCAGTCGTATTTCTCTCCTAGTGCCAAAGGCTTGGCACTAGGAGCTTTCTTTGGAGCCATGGTAGCTTATTTAGCACTTGGAAGCACTAAAACGAATGGATTATGAAATATTTTGTATGAACAAGTGAGGGGACCGTCACTCGCTGGTAAACAATGGCACACTGGCTGGGAAGGGAGGCTGAGGCGGTTCAGAGCTGTGAGTACGCGTCCAGGACGAACGACGATTAGCGAGTCAACCAACCATTTGCGAGCCAATGTTTGGATGAAAATAACGCGACGATTTCCGAAAAGGACGACTATCAAGCCCGACGATTATTGAGGGACCACTGTACCTTGAATCATATCGTATCTGCCAGTAAGACGAAATCATATTGTGGGAGATTTTTTTTTCACAACTATTTGGATACCAGACTCTTCCGTGGTTATCTCATGAAATGGCCTCATGCTGCATTCTGTGAAAATTATCATGCTGAATGTTTAACATTTTAATGTACTGTATTGCTTGTTTATCAGAGAGAGCTTCAACTTCACCTTATTCCTTTTACATACAGTGGACCCCCGCATAGCGACCTTAATCCGTGCAAGAGGGCTGGCTGTTATGCGAAATGTTCGGTATGCGAATGAATTTTCCCCATAAGAAATAATGGAAATCAAATTAATCCGTGCAAGACACCCAAAAGTATGAAAAAAAAATTTTTACCACATGAAATATACATTTTCCTACACACAAAGAGAAGGATACATGCACAATAGTAGAGTAGTACATGCACAGTATATATTGTGCATGTACTACTCTACTAAATGAAGAATAAATGACACTTACCTTTATTGAAGATGCAGCAATGACTGATGAGACACTGTGTCCTGGGAGTGCCTTTTCCTCCTGAGTACTGTAGGTCCTGTTTGGTATTTTCTTCCAGAACAGGCCTTATCACACTGTGTATGTCACTACGATTCTTAAATCTCTCAAACCAACCTTTGCTGGCTCTAAATTCACCAATATGAGCACTAGTTCCAGGCATTTTCCCTGTTCACCTGGGTGTTAGTCGACTGGTGTGGGTTGCATCCTGGAGAACAAGATTAAGGACCCCAATGGAAATAAGTTAGACAGTCTTCGATGACACTGACTTTTTTGGGCTATCCTGGGTGGCAAATCCTCTGGGGTTAATTGTTTCTTGGTATTCTCAATAAGCCACACCAACAATGGTGCTACAGCAGCAGCAGCAGCTGACGGTGGTACAGCAGCAACAGACGATGCTACAGCAGCAGCAGACGATGCTACAGCAGCAACTGACGATGTTACAGCAGCAGCAGATGATGCTACAGCAGCAGCAGCAGCAGACGATGCTACAGCAGCAGCAGCAGCTGACGGTGGTACAGCAGCAACAGACGATGCTACAGCAGCAGCAGACGATGCTACAGCAGCAGCAGACGATGCTACAGCAGCAGCAGACGATGCTACAGCAGCAGCAGACGGTACTACAGCAGCAGGAGCAGCTGACGGTGGTACAGCAGCAGCAGCTGACAGTGCAGCAGCAGCTGACGGTGGTACAGCAGCAGCAGCAGCTGTACCACCAATAGTAGCGATGGTTGATTGGGGTTTATTATACAACCTGGCCAGCTCGGAGACATGCACTCCACTTTCATACTTATCAATGATCTTTTTCTTCATCTCCATAGTAATTCTCACCCTTATTGCTGTAGGGTTGGCACTAGAAGCTTTCTTGGGGCCCATGGTCACTTATTTTCCAGAAAAAAATCACCAAAAACACTGTAATAATACGAAATGTTCCGAATGTTCCGATTGTATGCTTGGATGTTACCGCGGAGGCTGGCTGGTAAACAATGCCACCGGCGGAACATGTGAGCGTGGCTCAGGCCACACATTGGACGCGTCTTGGACGAAGGGCGCTGAGCGGGTTTTTGGGCGGTATGCGAGGCAAAATTTTTGTGATCAAAGCGTCCGGTATGCGGATTGTCCGTTATGCAAGGCGTCCGGTATGCGGGGGTCCACTGTATTCTGAAAGTAGCATTTTTAATGAATTTAAGTTAGGAAAATAGTCACACATGCAGCATTCTGAATAATTAGTCAAGCTATATTCTGCTCACATAAATAATATGTTCAGAGTGCTGTATATGTATCCATTTATGTACACAAATTGACTGTTGGTATATTTGAGGTATATCTGTCATACTATCTTTTCTCCATAAACCATGTGTGTTGTAAGAGGCAACTGAAATTCTGGGAGCAAGGGGCTAGTAACCCCTTCTCCTGTATACGTTACTAAATTTAAAATGAAAGACTTTTGTTTTTCTTTTTAGGTCACCCTGCCTTGGTGGGATATGACCGATTTGTTGAAAAAAAATCTATGATACTCTTGGCTCTGATGAAGATGTTATGATTTTTTATTTGTTTTGATCTGATATACCAATTTTGCCCCATTATTGTGCTCTCATCTTTCTATTTCATTTCCTTCTGTATTTTGCTTGTGTCTTTTTTTTTTTCTTTGGATGTATATTCATCACCTCCATAATGCTGAAAAACCCTCTTGATTGCAGATGCTTCTCATGGCTACTTTTATTCTAGATTTTACCATTAATCTCCTGCACAAATATATGTATTGATATGCACAGTACTAAGCATCTTTTTTTTTTACCAACAGGATAAAAAAAAAGTGGTGCCTGTTCCATTGATAACTCTGCCTGTAATGAAAGATTCATCACCTCTTGTCAGGAAAACAGTCTGTAAGAATATTGATAGAAAAGGCACCCTTGTCTCAGGGGAAAATACATCTCCAGGATCAGAGGAAAATATTTCACCTGGTCCAGTGGAAAATTTATCTCCAAATTCTGAGAAAAATGCATCACCTGGTTTAGGGAAAAACATTTCTCTTGGTTCAAAAGAAAATATATATCATAGCACAAAGAAAAAGACATCTTCTGAAGTAAATAAACTGAGATCTCTTAGTGTAAGGGAAACAATATCTCCTGGCACAAAATTGTTAGGGTATTCAAGTGCAGAAAAAAATGTGCATTCAAATGGAGAAAATTTAGATTTTTCCAATATAAAAGGAAAATCTTCTGATGTTTATAGGAAAAGTGAAAGTGACAAAAAAATTAAAGACAAGCATCCTGGGCTAACTAATTCAAGGGAGGAAACAAAAGAGGTGGTTTTTACCTCGGCCTTAGACGATTTGTGTATGATGCAGTTCATGCCCAAGACAGAAGATAACTTGACATTAAAGATAAAAAAGCTGAAAGAATGGCAAAAAAAGTATAAGGAACTTGATTCTAAACAGCTAGCAACTCTTGAGAATTGCTTTGAAAGACTAAAACATAATTTTGAAACATGTATTTTGGCTGATGTTACTAATATGAATAAGGTAGAACGAAACACATTTTTGGCAACACATCGAATTATGTTAAAGAAGTACTTTAATTATGATATCTTTGAGGACATTTATCCCCTTAAACAATATTCACTTGAAACATTTCCTTTGTTTTAAAATAAATATTTTTTTTGCCTAGAGAAACTTTTTTATAATATTTACAGAGCATTACAGTGTTAATAGATTTAGGCTGATACAAGTTATTTTCTGTTACATGTTTTTGTACTAAATTAGTTAATTACTTTATACATAAACAGTGTAAACTAGCGTATGTATTATAGAACACTCGGTTTTCTATGATATAATTTAGCATAAGGCTTTGTATTACTTAAGATGTGTAAATAGAATCTTGTGGTAATATGAATGGAGAAATTTATTTATATAGTATGCATTTCTTAAGCTTATTTTTTATGTGTCTTGTGTTGAGGCATTTTCCTTATATCACTTAAAAATTATTATGTTGGAAAATAAAGATGTATTTTAATATAATGTTTAGTATGAAGGCAGTAAGGAATGACTATTGACAGATGTCACTTTCTTTAAATATTTTGATATTGTGATGAGCATTAGAGATAAGTCACTTTTTACTGTCTCTTAACCCGTAAACGGTCCAAACGTATATATACGTTTTTTCAACATTTGAAAGCATGTAAAAAAAGTAGATCTTCTTTTTGTTTTTTTACATTTGAAAATGTATAAAAAAACTTTGATCTACTTTTTTTTTTGTTATATTTGAAAATATGTAAAAAAAAACAGATCTACTTTTGTAGCACTACACATGTGAACGTAGATCTGCTTGGACCGTTTACGGGTTAATGATGTTGATGTATCCTTACAGCTGTTTCTTTGGTTTTTACCTGCAGATTTTTTTCCTACTTTTGAAGTAGAAGTTTCAATTAGACATTCTGCATAAACAGCACTTATGTAGTAAGTATGATAATCCTTAAAACCATTAAAATTTTGGTATAAGTATATTTAGTATTTTTTATTAATGGTTATACTAAATTCAGGTGAAACCTACAGGAAGACCTTTAACCCTTAAATTGTATATGATGCAGATCAACAGCCAAATAGTAAACTGTTTAATGTATACTCTCCAAGAATTATTTTTGGCAAGCATATTTTTGATAAATTAGACACATGTGCAACTCTTGGGTATCTTTATTGAGGAAACGTTTTGCCACACAGTGGCTTCATCAGTCCATACAAAGGAGAATCTTGAAGAACAGGAGGAGAATGAGGTAATCAGTCCCTCAACCTTGAGTCGATGTGATCAGTCCATCAATCTTGAATAGATTCTATTCAAGATTGATGGACTGATCAAGTCATCAATCTTGAATAGATTCTATTCTTCCAAGATTGATGGATGATCACTTCGTCTCAAAAGGGTTGAGGGGACTGAATTACCTCATTCTCTCTCTCTGTTCTCAAGATTCTCCTTTGTATGGGATGATGAAGACCATCCCTGTGAGCAAAACGTTTCCACTATAAAGATTACCCAAGAGTGCTCATGTGTCTATTTTCAACATGTCGGTTCTCTGAACCATTACATCAAAAAAGCTATTTTTTAAATAGGGGATGTTAGAATTTTTGTGTATAAAAATACAGGCCTGAGTCCAGTACAACAAATAATATCCATATAAATTTTCACATGCCTCAGCCTGATGCCACCAAGTCGATTATCTATTCATGTTTGTCAGTATGGTGAACAAGGATTTTAAGTGAAGAAACCTAAATTCAGTTTTATATGCATTCATTAGAGTAGTATTAATTTGAAAAGGAAGAATTTTCTAGTGATAAGTACTTTGAAAAATTTACAAGGTATGTAGCATTGTCCAACAAGGAAATGATAAATTCAGGTTTTGCAAGGCATGCCTAGACCTTATGATGCCCAAAATTTGCTATCTTCCCAGATGGGATTGTGATATGCAACTGCTTTTCCAGGTAGTGATCCAAGGACATATATTAGAAACAACCAGAATTTTCACAGCTGTATAATTCTCACTGCCATCATTTGCATTGCTACTGTATCTGCCTCAGACTTTGCAAAAGCCTTTGACAAGTGCGATCATAGTGTAATAGTACACAAAATGCCCCTTAAAGGAGGTTCCTTGATGCTGGTGAAGGGCTCTTGATCTAGGGAATTGGATCTGTGCTCCAATTCCCAGAAATGAACCTGAATACTTTTCATCCTTCCTCCACAGGCGCTGTATAATCCTATGGGTTTAGCGCTCCCGCATGATTATAATAATAAAGTACAAAAAATGCATGATAAAGGAATAACAGGAAACGTGGGTAGATGGATCTATAACTTCCTAACAAATAGAAAACAAAGAGTAAGTAAACAGTAAAATCAGTGGTGGCTACAGTGGAGAACTCTGTTCCACAAGGTACAGTACTCACTCCCATCCTTTTCCTCATCTTCATATCTGACACAGAGTGTGTCCTCCTTTGCTGATGATACTATCATGATAGTATCATCCAACAAGTATACTGCAAATCTCCAAGCAGACATCAAGTTAGTTTAATATTTTTATTATGCACCCCATACCTATCCTATGAGTGGCAGTCAAAAAGATTACAGAGGTACATAATAGGTCCAAGGACTGGGGTGCAAAGTTTTGATAGCCGAACAAGTTACAAAGGTAATGAACCATTCACACGTCTACACCTGATAACAATTATAATGAGTTATTAATGCAATTACGTATTAGCTTTATTTACAGTTTACCTGGAGTTTACCTGGAGAGAGTTTCGGGGGTCAACGCCCCCGCGGCCCGGTCTGTGACCAGGCCTCCTGGTGGATCAGCGCCTGATCAACCAGGCTGTTGCTGCTGGCTGCACGCAAACCAACGTACGAGCCACAGCCCGGCTGATCAGGAACCGACTTTAGGTGCTTGTCCAGTGCCAGCTTGAAGACTGCCAGGGGTCTGTTGGTAATCCCCCTTATGTGTGCTGGGAGGCAGTTGAACAGTCTCGGGCCCCTGACACTTATTGTATGGTCTCTTAACGTGCTAGTGACACCCCTGCTTTTCATTGGGGGGATGGTGCATCGTCTGCCAAGTCTTTTGCTTTCGTAGTGAGTGATTTTCATGTGCAAGTTCGGTACTAGTCCCTCTAGGATTTTCCAGGTGTATATAATCATGTATCTCTCCCTCCTGCGTTCCAGGGAATACAGGTTTAGAAACCTCAACCTATGCGCGCCGTGAAAGTTCTCTGTACATTTTCTAGGTCGGCAATTTCACCTGCCTTGAAAGGTGCTGTTAGAGTGCAGCAATATTCCAGCCTAGATAGAACAAGTGACCTGAAGAGTGTCATCATGGGCTTGGCCTCCCTAGTTTTGAAGGTTCTCATTATCCATCCTGTCATTTTTCTAGCAGATGCATTGATACAATGTTATGGTCCTTGAAGGTGAGATCCTCCGACATAATCACTCCCAGGTCTTTGACGTTGGTGTTTCGCTCTATTTTGTGGCCAGAATTTGTTTTGTACTCTGATGAAGATTTAATTTCCTCATGTTTACCATATCTGAGTAATTGAAATTTCTCATCGTTGAACTTCAGTGAGTAAAGTCAGGGTATTTTTCCAAAATGGTTTGTAATATACCACTGTGGATAAAATACTTTGACATATCTTCAACATTTCTGAATGAGTTGTCTCTGAATTCATTAATTTTTATCTCATTCCAGTATATAATGACACAAGGTGTGACCACAGCCCATCCGGTAAAATTTTCATTTCATCTCGTCTGCATCTGGTGGTGGTGATTTAACCTCCCAAAGATACTTGTAACCCAGCTGGGGCCAGGCAGTAGTGACATCCAAGAATCTACTTATTTTGTTGGATGTACCATAGGCATGTGGTTCCTCCTGCATGATAGAATGATGATAGATGGACTGACTGGTACTTGCTCCCATTCTATTCCTCGTCCTCATTTCTGAAATAGACAGACATGTAAGCCATAGCTCCATGTCTTCCTTTGCAGATGACACCTGGATTACCATGGAAGTGACCTCCATCGAAGACACCACAAGACTCCAAGCAGACATCAACCAACTCTTCGAATGGGCCACTCAAAACAATATGATGTTCAACGAGGAGAAATTTCAACTACTCAGATATGGGAAACTTGAGCAAATTAAAAATGTATCAGGGTATACGACAAATTCTAACCATACAATAGAGTGGAAAAGTAATGTGAAAGACCTGAGAGTGATAATGTCAGAGGATCTTGCCTTCAAAGACCACAACAATGTATCTACCTCATCTGCTAGGAAAATGATAGGATGGATAATGAGAGCCTTCAAAACTAGGGACGCCAAGCCCATGATGATTCTCTTCAAATCGCTTGTTCTTTCTAGGCTGGAATACTGCTGTACACTAACTGCCCCCTTCGAGGCTGGCGACATTGCAGACCTGGAGAGTGTGCAAAGAACTTTCATGGCACACATAAGTACGATAAGGCATCTAAATTACTGGGAATGGTTGAAGGTCCTTGATCTGTATTCCCTGGAATGCAGGTGGAGAGAGATACATGATAATATACACTTGGAAGGTCCTGGAGGGATTGGTACCAAACCTGCACATGAAAATCACTCCCTATGAAAGCAAAAGACTCTGCAGGGGATGCAACATTTCCCCCATGAAAAGCAGGGGTGCCACAAGTATATTGAGAGACAACACAATAAGTGTCCGGGGCCCATGATTGTTCAATTGCCTCCTAGCATGCATAAAGGGGATTACCAATAGACCCCTGGCTGTCTTCAAGAGGGAGCTGAACAGGCACCTAAGTCAGTTCCCGACCAACCGGCCATCAGTAACAGCCTGGTTGATCAGGCCCTGACCCACCACGAGACCTGGTCATGGACTGGGCCATGGGGGCGTTAACCCTCGGAACACCCTCTAGTTATATATACGTATATATCTTATCTTTGCTGAGTGTCAAGGAAATGAGTGGCAGCTTGCCGCCTCGCTGTTTGTGGTGATGCATGAGCTTCAGAGCCACTCAGCTCCCAGGGATTTACATTAAGTTTATATCAGATCATTGATGTGCATTTTATGAAGTGGTGGATTTGCTGTGGTATACTGCATGAGTATTTACAATCAACTGCTTGATATAACTTTTAAGCAAGATTTAATAGGTGCCTTTTAATAATGTTATTAAAGCAAGTATCAGATAGGAAACTGTTTACATTTTCAGGTGGAATTCAATATTTTTGGTCCTTTTATTTGCAAGGAATTTGGAAACAGATTGAGTAGTAAATATAGTACATATATCAAAGACATACTTGTTCCTTGTATTGTGTGTGTACTCACTTAATTGTGGTTGCAGGGGTCGAGTCTTAGCTCCTGGCCCTGCCTCTTCACTGGTTGCTACTAGGTCCTCTCTCTCCCTGCTCCATGAGCTTTATCATACCTCGTCTTAAAACTATGTATGGTTCCCGCCTCCACTACTTCACTTTCTAGGCTATTCCACGGCCTGACTACTCTATGACTGAAGAAATTCTTCCTAACATCCCTTTGACTCATCTGAGTCTTCAACTTCCAATTGTGACCTCTTGTTTCTGTGTCCCCTCCCTGGAACATCCTGTCTTTGTCAACCTTGTCTATTTCGCGCAGTATTTTATATGTCGTTATCATGTCTACCCTGACCCTCCTGTCCTCCAGTGTCGTCAGGCCGATTTCCCTTAACCTTTCTTCATAGGACATTCCCCTTAGCTCTGTAACTAACTTTGTCGCAAACCTTTGCACTTTCTCTAATTTCTTGACGTGCTTGATCAAGTGCAGGTTCCAAACAGGTGCTGCATACTCCAGTATGGGCCTGACGTACACGGTGTACAGTGTCTTGAACGATTCCTTACTAAGGTATCGGAACGCTGTCCTCTGGTTTGCCAGGCGCCCATATGCTGCAGCAGTTATCTGGTTGATGTGTGCTTCCGGAGACGTGCTCGGTGTTGTGCTCACCCCAAGATCT